CTGGTGACTGAGCAAGGTGGGGGTGCAATGCCCTGGACATTTCTGCTTAATGTGTTATAACTCTGATGAGCAATCTTTGCCCCAGAGCTGGCGTCATGCTGGCTAATGCTTGGCTGGGCCTGCAGCTCGGTTATTTCTGTCTCTGCTCAATCTTCTTTTTTCCTCTCTTTCCACTGATACTAATTGTTAATAAACATCTTGCACCCAAATTTGTCTCAGCACCTGCTTCCAGAGTACCGAACCTGCTGCAGGCTCTATGACCTGGAGGCAAAGGAGAAACTCGCTAACTAGGTAGTAATTTGGCGCAAGCTATTTCAATGTCCGCAACTTCCCTTTCCTCCTTAGTAAAATGGGATAATGTTTGCCTCTCAGGGTGCGTGAGACTCAGATGAGATTGAGTGTGTAAATCACCTGGCATAGTGCTTGGCATACAACAATGTTCAGTATGTGTTGCAATTTTACTCGTTTTAAAGGGAAGCTCCTCAGAAATGGACGATTTCCCATGCTGACCCAGGTTTGTGAGTTTTCTGTTGAGGAGGGAGAACTGAGTGCTCCATTTTCTGGCCACAGTGTTGACAATAATAATTCCTAATTCTTTTTTTTTTTTTTCCTTTTTGTCTTTTTTCGTGACCGGCAACGGATCGCAACCCTCGGTGTTGCTCCCGCACCTTGCTCAGCCAGTGAGCGGCCGGTCTGTATGTGGGATCTGAACCCTTGGCGGGAGCGCCACCACGCTCCCAAGCGGCGCACTGTAGCAGTGCGCCACCGGGCCGGCCCCAATAATTCCTAATTCTTACGTAGCATAAACTGTGAGCCAGGCATATTCTCAGTGTCTTGCACGTATTAAGCCATTTAATGCAACAACAACCCAGTGCAGAAGGTACAGTTCTAAGTCCCATCTTACAGATGAGGAAACTGAGGCACAGAGAGGTCATGAACTGGTCTCAGGTCCTAAAGACTGGAAGTGTGAGGGCTGGACTCTGAACTCAAGCAGCCTGGGACCAGAATCTGTGCTCTTGCTCACTAGAGCCTACTGCCTCTTGGTTGAACTTTTATAAAGAACTTGAAGCAGAATGAGGCAATCCTTCCTCTCACCTCCCATTTGCCTGTGATGCCCTTCCAGAACAACTTTTTCTGAATAGGAAAGAGGAAGAGGATGAGGAAGATGTCATCTGCGTGCAGATGGGCTGAAGTTCCTGAATCCTTTCTGAGGCCCTGAGGGAGGAAGAATCCAATACCCTTGTGTCTCTGGGGCTAAGGAGCCAACCACTGGGAACCACCCTGGCAGAGAGTAAAATGGCAGGAGTGAGATGTTGACAATGACAGCTTCCTTGCAAAATTTCAGGTATTTGCAAATAATTAACTCAGCTTTTTCAGCATGTCTTTATTTGCTTAAATTAACAAAATGCAGGTTACATGCTATTTTCAGGTAAACTGCTTTTTCACTGAAGCAGAAAGCAATATTCACAACTTGGGTTGTTATACACTCAGAGTTTTTAGTTTTTAAACAGCAAACCAGAATTCTGTACAAAATCAACATTTGGTGTAATGTTGTCCAAATATGCAAAGGATTTTAAATGTTAGCTCTGTTACATTTTGTTCCAGCAAAGCAAAGATCATAATTCAAAACACAATGTTACTATTTTATTAAATGCCTTTGGGGCTTAATAAATACGGTATGCACATTGAGCTTTCTCATATAACTAACTGCTCATATACAAATATACCAGTTGCTCCTGTGGGCTTATGAAAGGTCAGCCTCAGGCTTATGGTCAATGGGAAGTCAAATTTTTAAAAAGAGAGAATGAAAGAGGAATTGAAAGGCAAGAAGAAGGGTAATCATAGGCCTGGATAAAAAGAATAAAAGAAAAATATGCCACTTGGCTGGTCTGTTGGTTAGTTCAAAGTGACAGTGTTCAAAAGCCTGGAAAGCACTGGGTAGTGACCTGTGTTCAGAATATCACAGTGTGAGAAAGTTATGCTGTCTTGACCTTGGAGTGCTGGTAACCCTGCAAGGCTTCATCTTTTACTTCTCTGAGGATGGCCCCGATGGGATCTCATTCAGGCTTGCATTCTGGTTAACAGGCTCATCAGGCAAAGCTGGCCAGCCCTTCTCCTAGCTCTGCGCTCATGCATGGGGTGTCTGTGTAATTTATCACCCAAATTGAGATACTTTTGAGAACTGAGGTGGCACTATTAGTAATTACCTTGGGACGACAGATAATAAACCAGGATTGTCCCAGGCAAACCAGAATGCTAGTCACTCAACAACATATAGAACATTTTAGCCTTGGTTCTCAGAAGGTCAGTGCTATATTAACCATCAAGTTAGATTTAATTAGGTCTCTCATACGCAGAGTCAAAACTAAAAACAGGCCTTGGAATACACTCCATATCAAATTCTTCTTACCATTTCCAGACCTTTTTTCTCCCTGCAAATGAAATTTTACATGGAATGCTAACATACAAAACAGATGAAACTTGAGCTGTTCTCAGTGAAGTAGGCACGGGGCCCGAGAGTTTTCCCCTCCCCGTGCAGCTCTGCAGGGGCACAATTTGAAAACCACCATCTAGACCATTCTCTCTCCATCTCAACATTAACTGGTCCCTCAAACATTTCCACATAATTTGTTTTGGTTGGAAAGGACTAGAGCCTGTTAGTCTAGATTTTCCTGATTCCTATTCAAGCCAGGCATACTCAGAACCAACTGGATGTCTGCAGCACATGTGGTCAGGTACAGCACACAGTAGGTCCTCAACACATGGTTGCTGAATGGATAAATACGTAACAGGACCTGAAGAGCTGGAAGTCTCTCTGACCACTCTGCCAGCCTCCTGGACAACTTCATCAGAGGAACTGGTGAGCTATAGTAATAGAGAATGGAAGGGAACTTGCCCTTCTGAGGCTTCTTGGCCCTGAGTTTGCTTGTACCCGCAGAAACCCACAATATTCTCTTCACCATCCCTTTGCAGGTGCTCTGACCTCAGGACATGGGTGGTAGCAGGAAACCCAAACAGCTTTAGCACTTCGTGGTGGTGGTGAGGCTGAAGGAAGGCACTGTAGGTGAGGTGGCAGGAGAAATGGGTCAGGGATTGACAAGCACAAGGGGAAGGACGAGGACTAGACGAGGCGAGTGGAGAAGCACCTTGGCCAACAGGAAAAGTGGCATCCAGCTTCTAGAGGTGGACCCAGACTTCCAAAGAAATGTACTGGGAAGTTCGGGAGGAGAGGAAGCAAAATAATAATCAGTACCTAGCTCTACAAATAAGAGTTGAAACTACCAAGAGGCAGTATTTACATAAACACAGACACAGTACCAGAGGATGATTGCTTATGGTCAGTCACACATAGGCAACACCTTGTCAGTGCTGCTTTGCTCAGTGCCAGTGCTAAGTTAAGGCCTACCTGCGGGGCCCAAGCCACCCATTAGAGTCATCATCACTCACTGGAATCATGCTTCAAGCATCCAGGAAGGAAGAGTTAGTCACCATAGGTCAGCCATGCCTTTTTCAACATATTAAGTGACCATAAACATCACTGGCATCATCTTCTAGTATGAAAAAGTGTGTATCTACACAGTATGTGTGCATGTGTGTGTATACGTGTTCCCTTGTGAGGCTCTTACAGAACAGGTGAAAAGGCCTAAGTCTGTAGTATGACCATCAGGTCTCCTGTTCTGTACCCTAATGAGTCTGAAGCCAGGAACAGAAATATTTACAGAGTCCCTGGGAGGGGACTGGAAGCCACAGAAATGGTGCACGCTATGTTAGCCCCTTCGAGCTTTCTCAGCTCTGGCTGCATACAGGAATCACCTGAGGCAATTTGGAAGCTACCAGCTCTGGGCCTCCACTCCAGACCAATGAAATCAGAATCTCAGGGGCTGAGGCCCTGGCACTGGTATTTTACAAAAGGCTTCCCAGGATGATTCCAATGTGCAGCTGGCACTTAGAACACAGTCCAGAGTCTTCCTTACTCATGAGCAGCTGGTGATCATTCTAATAGCCAGAATAAGTCAGAGCTCATTCAGGGAGAATTCCTCCACCCCCAGCCCCCAGCTCCAGCATTGCTCACTGGTGACAACTCTTCTACAGCTGTCTTCTGGGGCATGAGGCCTCAGAGCAAGACGACAGTGGTCTCCAGGAGGGACCCTGCTTTGCACACGAGGAGTTAATATGAGGAGCCAGGACACTTAAGCATGGTCAGGTCACCTGAAAATATGCTCCAATGCCCCACCCAACGAAGGTGGCTGAAGCAGAATAAGAGACACCCAGGCAGGAATCTAAGTATCACTGGGTTTTCCTTAGTTAAAATTATTCATCTTCTCCTGAAATTTTATCTTACATCTGCAGCAACTACTTGAGAACATCCTCTTCACTGGCTCACTCCCCTGTGTCATTTCTAATATTTTTGGTTATTTAATACAGGGTATATATGTATAGGCGTTTGGCCAGTGACAGGGATCAAACCGTGGACTTTGGTGTTATCAGCACCACACTCTAACCAACTGAGCTAACCCACCAGCCCTAAGGCTATTTTTACATATACAACTACTAATATTTTAATCTATCTGAAAAAATGTTATAACTTTCATGAATTCAACAAAATAGTGATTCATAAGGCAACACATCAAGCACCATAGTTTTGCAACTAGAAAGAAATTTACCATGTATTGCATATTAGTCAAAAGAAAATAGAATTTCTAAAAGCACCTCCGTGTCACCTTACAATTAGATATCTAGAAAAATATGCAGTTTATTATACTGATGATGCGGAAAATAAAACACTGAAGAAACCCTTGAATGAGTGTTAAAAGTATCAAAGGCCCAGTGAGTGACCTGAGAAACATTTACATTGCCTAGGATGGTCGCTGCTCATTTAGACTGAGCCGTTTGTAAAGACTGGTGCCATCCCCCCTCCCCAGCAAATGACACTTCATGCAGAAAGCTACATTTGACTGCCCAGTTCTCATTTTCCAAAGGTCATTTTAAAAACGGTCCGCTTAGATACCTAAAAGCACTGCCTGTTTTTCCATTTTCCTCTCCAGTAATTCTTTCAAACTGTCATCTCTGTGCTTGAAGTATAAGTAATAATAATTCCCAGTAAGGGTGTGGACATGGGAGGCTTGTTACACAGTGTGTGTAAATCGGGCTAACCCCTCGGAGGTGAATCTGGCAACATGCAACGAAGCTTCAAAAATGAGATTTGACTGATTATGCCAATGAGAATTGAAACTATGAAAAATAAGCAGGCAGGTGCACAACATGTATGCGTAAGGATGCTCACCCCCACATTTCTTATTATGTGAAAACAATTTTTGTATTTAATGGTAGAGATTTGGTTAAACAAATAATGGCACCTCCATATCATCAACTATGTGTGGGTGATATAGAGACCTACTAATGATCATAAAAAGGTATTCTCTCTGTATTTTAAATAAAAAACATATATATATATTTATAGTGCAGACCCAGTTTTATCTCTCTGTATCTGTATGTGTGCGTGTATCAAAATGTATCTGGAAGGATGTATGCCAAATCTCAAAATTGATGATGAATTCTGTATGCCAAGTACATTTTCTTTTCTCTTCTATTTTCTTATTTTGTCACATTGAGCATATGTCTTACCATAAGAAAAAAATAAAGCATTAATAAAGGTATTTTCATCTTGAAAAAGGCAGATTCCATTTGTGGTGAGGAAGACACTCCATGACCCTGACCCCTGTACATAGACAGAGAGGGCACAAAAGGGTTCTCTGAGGTGTTCACAAAGCGCCTGTGTCCCACCACAAGTGTCCCCGTCACGGGCACAGTGATTTCAGAGGGTCTCACTTCAGTTTTGGTTTGAGGGCCTATAGGGAATGGGCTTTTCAGCAGCCTACAGACAGGTGGTAGTATTCCATTTGATCCGATCTCTAAGGCCTCTACCTGTGTTGAGCTAACAGTGGGCCCTGAGGAACAGGCCAGGACACTGGAGAAGAGAAACAGGAGGGGAGGGGCCCGGGGGTGCAGCCAGACCATGCCTCTGGAATGGGGTGCAAAAGGAAAGGTAGGGGGCCCTGCTGTCCATCATTTTCCACTTGATACTGTCGGGCAGTGAGGCAGTCTGTATCTTTAATCTTGTTGGGGGACAGAGAGATTCTTTTTAATTTTTCTAATCATTTTTGAGCCATTTCAAAAACTAGAGTGAAAAAATGCTAATAGCCTTTGTAGATGAAAACACTAAAATTGTTGAAAGTCTGTTAGAAATTTTCAAAGCAACCTTCTGATATACAAGGGTCTTCAAAAGGTTCAGGGGTCTTCAAAAGGTTCATGGAAAGATTTATATTATCCTTTAATTCGATTTTTCCATGAACTTTTTGAAGTGCCCTCATGTAGTGATGCTCTTTATCTTTCCAGATGACAGAGCCTCTAGGAACCTTTTAGGATGTGAGCGTGAGTGTGGAGTAGGTCATTGTGACCAGGTCAGGCTTTTAGCTGGAGGACTGGCTCCTCACTGCCTTGTGTATCTCCCATCCTGGCAACTGAGCAAACTTCACCTCTTCTGGAAAAATCCAGGCCTAACTTGGGAAGTGGCTTAGGCAACTAGAGACTCAATGATTAATTCAGGAGAAAAATGTTCTCAGGAAAAAAATCCTTTTTTTTTTTTAAGCAGAATTTTTTCACAATATTTTTTGCACAAACTCCAACCCTTGTTTTGTGATGACCACAGTTCCCTATCACACAGGAAACATCATAAACTCAGTGGGTGTTGTGGACAATCTGAAAGCTACAATTGCTTTGTTTCGTGCTGTCTGCACCTGTGTGCATCTTGTTTATGAATATTTGTGTCCGTTTGACCACCTTTTTTGTAAGGGGGTGGGAGATGCGACAAACACAAACAAATTGCTCCATGTTTTTGCTTAAGGTATTGAGCATTGGCTTGATTCAGAAATACTTGAGTTGGAATCCCCGTTCTGCCTTCAGACTTGCTTTCTGACCTTGAGCAGTTTATGTAATACCTCTTGGTTTTGGTCTCCTCTTATATAAAATGAGAATAACACAGTCTCTTTCATGGACTTGTGGGATAAGCAATAATGTCCCTAAAATGTCTCACCCTGTGCTTTGATCATACCAATATCAAAAAGCATTTAATCTGATTTTGTAAATTACATGTAAACCTCTCTTTTCTCCCCACACATCTCCTAGAGGGCAAAGATGGTCCCATTCGCCTCATACCTGCCACTGCATGTAGCTCATTACATTGGACAGAGCTGCATTTATTGCCTGTTTATTGAAGGACTGGTTGGTTAGGTGGCTAAGGAACAACCCTGCTGAATTCAGTAGATCTGGAACATAAACTCTTCACTGCTAAGGGTTCTGGGACTGAGAAAATAAAGGAGGAGAGAATTTTTCATTAGTTCAGTGAGGACTCAGTGGGGAAGACGTAGCCCCTGCTCTCTGCATATGGGCCAATCTGCCCTAACCAACCAGGAAAATTGTCCCTGGGTGTATTTGTTTGTGCACAGGTGGGGGAAAGCTGGCCTGCCACAAACATACTTCTGGTGACAGCAGAACTTGCAGGCCTGTTTTTTAAAAAGGAAAGAAAATTATGTGCCCTTTAGCAGCGACACGGTGAAGTGGATACGATAGAGGCTGTAGAACTGGAAAGGTCTAGGTTTAATTCCTGACTCTGCCACTTTTCAGTTGAGCAATTTTGGGCAAATTAATCTCTTGAAGCCTCAGTTGCTCTATCTGTATACTCCCCTTTTTGACAAGAATCACCCCCTAAAGTAACAACCCATAAAAACAAGTTCCACTCCCAGTTGTCACCCATTGGACCGTGTAGTGTGGGGCTTACTGGATGAGCGATTACCTTGAGAGTGAAGGCCCCGCTCCATGACCCCGTGCTTGACTTTCATGTGGCGCGTCAGGTTCCCCTTCAGGGTGAATTTGCTCGGGCAGTAGAGGCACTTGAAGGGCTTGCTGTCTGAGTGCAGGTGCATGTGTCCCATCAGGTTGTGCATCCGGTTGAATTCCTTCCCACACAGCTGTTGGAGACAGACGAGGAGAACACAGGTTACTCTGCCAAGGCAAACCCATATCCAAGCCCATGGAGGACAGATGTGGCATGTGTCCCATCAGGTTGTGCATCCGGTTGAATTCCTTCCCACACAGCTGTTGGAGACAGGCGAGGAGAACACAGGTTACTCTGCCAAGGCAAACCCACATCCAAGCCCATGGAGGACAGACGTACTGTGACCCACAGTGCTTCCACTGTGTTTGAATCTTGGCATTTTAAACTACTTCCAAGGATAACATCCCCATGGAAGTCAGGAGGGGGCAGGATTCTGCCCACACTCAGAAATGGAGCAGGGAGAGATGGATTCGTGAGATTTGTTTCTAGTGTAAAAGGATCTTTAAACTCAAAGTAAAAAGTGCAAAGTCTGTAAAACTTCTTTTAAATACAACTTTTGGAAAAGGAGAAGAGCTGATCGTAAAAGCAGTTGCTCAAAGTGCACTTCACTTTAGTAATAAGAATATGATTACATATTTAATATTTATGGAATATTAACAATATGAAGCCATGTTCTAAGTCGGCCATGGAATATCTCACTCTATTCTCACATCAATCCTATGAGATGATTGCTGTATCACCCCCATTTTATATATGGACAAACTGAGGGCTTACATCACTTGGCCAAGACACACAGCTCGCGGGTGCTGGAGCTGGGATAATGAACTCAGGCCATGGGACAACAGAGGCCACAGGGTCAATCATCACACCATACTGGGTCCCCTCAGGCCACAATATAACTCTTCTGTTAGACTGTATCAGGCAGTCTAATTTTTTAATTTGCTAATTATTTAATTTGCTTTTCTAATTTTTTAATTTGCTAATTATTGGAATAGATTTCAAAGTTAAAAGGAACAAAGAGACATCTAAGGAAGAAGTTCGTCTTTTCTCTGGGTAGAAATTTGAAGTAGTGAGAATATAATCCCAGGTATACAAAAAGTAAATGTGTTTTATCCATTTGTTTTTCATCCTTTGTCTCTATCTCCTTCAAAGTGCAAATATGTGATAAACCACAACAGTGGTCCTCCAACTTCTTTTGGAAGAGCAACATCTTCTGTTCAAAGACAATGTATGAAGATGCAGAAAGTACAACAGAAGCAGCTGCTCTGGGGCGCTTTTTTGTCCCCAAGCCTTAGTAGGGCAGGGTCTGGAAACGCTAGCCCTGCCTCAGCTGTGCTGTGAGGAACGCAAAGAAGGGATGGTGTGTTCGCACCTGGGCAGAGTGTTGGGTGGTTGGGGCAGGGACGTGCAGTGAGAGAAGACACAGAGAGAGGACTCGGGGTACAGCATCCGCTGAGGCTTATACCAGTTTTCCTTTCTCACTGAGATATATTGTCAGGGCCAATGCTGGGGATTCTGGATTGAATTTTTATTAACGGAGGCAGCATTTTCTTCAGATGGCTATGGAAGGTGAGAGTTGAGCTGGCCCTGGAAGAACAAGTAGATCTAATAAATGGTGATTTGGGGAGATCAGCCTAAAAGGGTGTTGGGTGGTAAGAGGAAGACAGCCTGGGATTATGTGTTTGTCCCAGATAAATCACATAGGGATAATGAACTTCCGGTTCTGTATTTCTGAATGATTCATATTTGGGGTTTTTTTCCCCTTTTTTCTTCCTTAATAGCAAGGATGAATTTGGCACGCTGGGTGGGATTCCAAGCTCAGCATCCAGAGTGCCTGCTCACCACATTCATTTGGAAATGGTGATCCCAGAGGAAAGGAGGATGAGAGAGCTGATGTAATTCCAACTCCCCAAGAGAAGCGATATGTGGGATGGGTACTTGTTTTCTTATGTTCTCAAAAGAGATAATCTATTAAGATATATCAATCTGTGCCTCAGGTTTGCTGATGTGTAAAAGTTCTAGTAGACATATTTATTAGCTTTGTTCACCCACTTCATCATGGCTGAGGAAAAAATCTTTGAATATGGAAATATTACATTATGTGTTGCCAGTCGTGGGTCATTTTTAGAAAAAGCATCCCTCATTTGGTTTGTGGGATGGTTCCTGATTATTTGGAGTGATGCTGCTGCTGCAGCTGCTGAGCATAACCAGTACTTCAGTCATTACTTATTTCAGATGTCCCCACCCAGGAGACTGCTCTGTCTGTCTTTTTATTATATTCCCTGCCCAGTATCAGCTTGACACATGATAGGTCCTCAATAAGCATCTGTTGAGTGAGTAAAGCAGGGGGACACATTACAGCAGCAGAATTGATCAAAGACACAGCCCTGGGTGGTTAAGCACAGATGTGAAGGGGGAGAGGAGCTGAAGGCTGGAAGATCAATTGGGCTTCTGCACTAGTCCAGGCATGAATGGGATCTCATGGTCCTATAGGCCAGACAGAGGTCATTGAAAGGAAGGGATGGGTGCTTCGGCACTTGGCTCCCACGATGGGAGAAATTCCTCTTTTAGTTATTTTCTGTGGTTGCTGATGTATTAGAAGCTGGATTGGTCTGAATCATTTTGTAAAGGAGATAGAATTTTAGCCTAGCCTTGAAGAATGTGTAGCGTGCCTTTGTTTTTGTTTTGACACAAGGATAAAGTCTCTTTGTTAGATATTCTCAGACACTTCAGTCAACCTTACACCAAGGTAATGATTACTGTTGTGATAACAATTGCCTGCTTATTGCTGCCATACCTGCTGGGACTTTGGGGTCAGCACAGACCCTGCAATTCACCTGCCCAAGGTCCCATTCATCATCCTCCCCCAACTCCATACTCAGAGATGTGGCTCATCATAATGGTGTTTGGCACCCTAAATGGTGTCCCAGATAGTGTCCAAGGTGAGGGCCACCTTCCTTTTCTTTCATGGCCAACTTCAGTATCAAGCACAGGGCCACACACATAGTACACTTAATAAATATACAAGTATTTGATTGGGGGAATGAACAAATAAGTCAGGAAAATATCATGACTTCATGCAAAAATCCTAAAAAGCAGCCATCACCAGCTCTCTTCCTTCCCTGCACTATACCTACACACATTAGTTTGCAAACTAAAATCCTCAGTGGCAGAAGGATAGAGTCAATTAGCTCAGAACCAGATGTACTTGGGCTCCGTTCACATCTCAGTGGTAGGTGCTTAGCTTCTTCCCCTCAGCCCTGACCCTTCCAAAAAGTACTTTTGTCCTTGTCCAGAACATTTGGTGTCTTCATCTCTCTCCGAAGATTGTCCTCACAGGACAATACACAAGTGTATAAAGGTATGTTAGTCTGTGAAATTCAGAGAGAGAGACCTCTCAGACACTGTTAGTAAAGAGGGGCCAGAGAAGAGGACGGGGTTTGAAATGGGAGCTTCAAGCAGAACTGTCGCAGTGGATGGGGGACTTAGATGGGAAGGAAAAAGAATGGTTGAGAAGGAAGCACCAAAACTCTAGTTTCTTCTCCAGGGAAAAGCACAAAGGCCTCCTTTAATCATGAGATGAGAAGCTGAGAGCTCGCCTAACTTGGGGCTTGCTGAATCATCTCCTGCCAATGTCTGTGGACATTGAAATAGGGGTGGGTGTCAGTGCAGGAAACCACTGGAGTGGCGAGGACTCCAACTTCATCCTCCAGGTGGTCACCTCCACCGGCTCGTTTGAATTCTCAGTTGCTCTAATGAGCAGCATCACTGTGCCTCTGACCTTGAATCTCAGCTTCCCCATCTACCCACTTTTGAAGAAGGAGGTAGGCCCAAAAATTTAATAAAAAATTGAAACAAATATTTGGAACTGTACTTTAAAAATGGGTTGCATGGATCATTATGCTTGGAGATGACAGAGCAGAGGTGGCGGTGACAGCACAGGACAGAGAACTTGCTCCATGTTCTCTTCTGTGACATGCTGATTATAATCATTGTTCCTTGTGAAGGTTGTTGTGAGACTCAAATGAGATAGTTCATGTAAAGAGCCTGGCAGCCAGTAGAAGCTCAGTAAATATTAGCACTTATTACTATCATTATCTTGTACATAGTAGATTCTTTTACATTCCAGAAATAGAAAGATCTTTTAAGACGAGGGTGCTGTCTTTTTAAACCAGATTATTTGGAGGTAATATTAAAGGAAGGACCAAATGAGGAATCCTCTGGGTACGCCTGCCCGGTTACTTGAGGCCTCATAGAAATGCAGGCAGTCGTGCCCGACCCAGCACTGGGCAATGTGGCTGGAAAGAGAAGATTCAGCCCGGAGCCCATCAACTGGCTTCCCAGTCTTCGGTTTGCCCTTTGAACAGCTGGTAGATGCCCTGTTTGCTCCTGGCCTCCTGGCCTGGCTCCCTGGAGCCCTTTCTCTCCCCATCCAGGGCCTCAGGCACTTCCCACCAGCAGCCCCCGCGACGATGCTGCCGGCCAGCAGCCACAGAGAGGGAGAGGTCACTGTGGGCAGAGGCGGGGGATGGCAGTGAGCAGCCACTTGGCTGGGGCC